GGCAAAAGCAAACCTGGACTGACGTGGGGTGGCGAAAGACAGACGAAACAAGACGAACAAAAGACGAAAACGCACTCGCACAAGACCAGGGGAAACGAGGACTATTTAAACACATGAGGGGGGGGAACCCCAGGTGAACACAATAGGTAATCAAGACATGACGAGACACCAGACATTCCCCCAGACGGGACAGAGCCCCCCCCTTAAGGGACGGCTCCCAGACGGCCCTAAACACACATGAGGACCACGGGAGGGTGGGGGGGGATCAGGAACAGAGGGAACAAACGCACTCGCACAAGACATGGGAAACGAGGACTATTTAAACACATGAGGGGGGGGAACCCCAGGTGTACACAATAGGTGATCAACACATGACAACACACCAGACGTGACACTTTTCATAGAATCCTGTTGGGTCTAAATACGACTCCTAGTTCCTCACTATCAAGAGTTTAGTTATTAATCAATAGACCCAGGACGAGGCATCAGAATAAAAAGGCTTGACACAGAGGATAAGTTTTTCTCAACTGCAGAAGAGGGAGAGACTGTGTGGCCAGAGAATGCCACACAAATTTGAATCTCACCCCGCATTCCTCAAGCAGTCGATTTTTATTAGACTGATAGTTGCTAAGCAGTGTACGTATTATGGGATAGGAAAGTATTGGACGTCATGCCCTTATCAGGTTTTTCCCGGTAGCTGGCCTGTTGACGTCCAGACCTTGGAAGATACAGATGGTAGACAGATGGGAATCAAAACACACATATTTTAGCTTGTCACTAATGTAAATACGAAAAATAGCTTCTACAAATCCAAATCGGTTTGCGACCAAAAACCAAAGTAATAACTGAGCTGCTCCCCAGGGAAGTACGAGGCGCTGAGCCCCCAGGTGGCGTTTTCCATGGAGCGCACGCCCTCCGTGGGGGGAATCGCTCTGGCGTTTCTGCAGGCTTCTTTCGCCTTCAGTGGCTGGAACTTCCTCAATTACGTCACCGAGGAGGTGGTGGAACCCCGACGGTGAGAATAAACACACACACACACACACACACACAGAGGCCTCCACCTCCGGGCGGTTGTC